CCCCCGCCCCCCCCCCCCACGGGACCGGTCGGCCGGCTGGTTACATGATTTTTGAGCAGAATCACCCTCCCCGGCCAGAGCTCAAGCGGAAACAGGAGCCCCCACTGAGGTGTTCTGAGTGCAGTTTTGGGGGGACGTGTGGCTGCTGTTGTTCATCCTCAACATTGATATTTAGAGCGAGTGGGAGGGAGAGAGAGAGAGAGACACAGACAGAGAAACATCGATGTGAGAGAGACACACCCGTTGGCTGCCTCCTGCCCGTGACCAGGATGGGCATCGAGCCTGCAACCCAGGTACATGCCCTTGACCGGAGCGAACCTGAGACCCTTCAGCCCGCAGGCCGACACTCTATCCACTGAGCCACACCGGTGAGGGCTGGTGTGTGTGTGTGTGTGTGTGGGTGGGTGTGTGTGTGTGTGTGTTTTATTGCCATGAGACCCATCTAGCATGTGAACCATGTGAAGGCAGCTCAGAGGCCGTTAAGCGCATTCACACTGTTATCCTCTGTAGTGCCTTCGTCGTCCCAAATCGAACCTCTGGGCCAGGAAGCAGTCTCTGCTCCCCGCACCCACTCCAGCCCCTGGCACCCCCCATCCTACTTCCTCCTTCATGAATGTGCCTGTTGTAGGTGTTCCTTTATAGGGGGGCTCCTGGTCCCTGTCCCCGTGTGTCTGGAGGGCCATCCATGTGGTTCGCGGGTATCAGAACTGCCTTCCCTCCAGGAGAGCAGCATCCCCTCGCTTCCAGGTGCCTGAGAGCTTAACCGAGTCCGTCCCTTAGCGCTTCACCTTGGAATACGGTCCCAGTTAGGAAACTGCAGGGCAGGTCACACTTTCCACGCTCAGTTTCATTTCTCTCTAGAGTTGTGTTGTTTTTTTTCCCCTCCCCTCCCCTCCTTTCCCTTTCCTTTCCCTTTCCCTATCTTTCTTTTTCCATGGCTGGAGGGGGCGGGGCATCTGGAGATTTCTCTTTCTTCTTTTTGTAAATTTAATATATCTTTATTGATTTCAGAGAGGAAGGTAGAGGGAGAGAGAGATAGAAACATCAATGATGAGAGAGAATCGTTGATTGGCTGACTCCTGCACACCCCACACTGGGGATCGAGCCTGCAACCCGGGCATGTGCCCTTGACCAGAATCAACCCGGGGCCCTTCAGTCCGCAGGCCGAGCCAGACCAGCTAGGGCCAACCTCTTCTCCTTGACCGGGAATCGATGCTCAACCACTGAGCCATTCCGGCCGGCCAGCCGGGCTCTCTTTCCTCTTATCAGCTTATCCACGCATCTCAAAGGGGCTGCAGTGTGGAATTTTTTGGCAGGAGTAACTTGAACTTGGCCTAATTTTGAACTTACAGAAAAGTTTCAAGCCTTGTACAGGGAACCCCGTGTATCTTTACCCAGGTTCCCCGATCCTCACCACCCCCCACCCCCCATTTGCTCTATTTTGTTCACCCTCTATCTCTCTCTAGATCAGATATTCACATTTCCAGAAACCTTTGAGAAAACATTGGCGATACCATGTCCCTTTGTCCCTAAATACCTCAGTGTGTATTTGCTAAGGACAAGGGCATTCCTTTCAAGAATCACAATCCAATGACCGAAATCAGAAAGTGTAAGGTGGACAGATCCTCCTATCTACCACTCAAACGCCACTGGTGTCTTGGGAACATGCAGGGGGGGAGGTTCCTCCTCCTGGAATGGCGTCCCAGGGGCTTCTCTCTGGTCTCCGTTCATGCGAGCAGGTCCTCTGTCTTTCTCCTTCGTGACCCTGACATTTTCTGAGTCCAGGCCCGTTGCTTAGCAGCAAGTCCCCGCATTGGAATTCGCTGGGCGTTTCCTCCCTGTTAGACTCAGGTGCGGCAGCCGTTTCTTAATCTCCCTGAACCCCACCCCCCAAAATCCCCTGTAAGACAAGCAGGAGAGCGGAGGTTCACTGATCTTCCACAAGCCAGCTGACTGTGGAGCCCCACGAACCCCGAAATATAAGTGGTGGGGCCAAGCCAGTACCAGTATTAGGGGGAGGGGAATGTGGACGTTGGAATTCCCCCACCAGCCCTCAGCCCTGGAGGAGGGGCTGCCTTACAGTCAAGGGCTGGGTGAGAACATGACAATAGCAGCAGCAGTCATATGTCCTGTGTGTGCGGGTGTGACTTCACAAGCTCCAATAGTAAAACACTACGGGAAGAAGGAATGTGCCGGGATGTTCTGGGCCCTCAGAGACTAGCATGACTCGATAGAATCTCTTTCTCTCTTTTCTGTTTTTAAAAAAATATATATTCCATTGATTTTTTACAGAGAGAAAAGGAGAGGGATAGAGAGTCAGAAACACCCATGAGAGAGAAACATCGATCAGCCGCCTCCTGCACATTCCCCACTGGGGATGTGCCCACAACCCAGGTACATGCCCTTGACCGGAATCGAACCCGGGACCCTTCGGTCCGCAGGCCGACGCTCTAGCCACTGAGCCAGACCGGTTAGGGCTCTCTCTTTTTTCTTAATTGATTTTTAGAGCGAGCGAGAGAGAGAGAGAGATGCAAGAATCCTTGTCTTAGTTCAGAGGACCAAGAGAAGACGCCTTCCCATTTCTAGGGCCAAATGAACCCAGAAAACTACATCTCCCATGAGGCTGTGTGCAGGCAGCGTCATTAAAAAATACCCCCCCTGCTACCGAGGTACCTCTGAGAAACAGTTCCACCACACGAACAGGAGGTTGGAATACAGTGAATGGAGATAAGTTCTGTGCTGTCTAAGGGCAGGGGTAGTCCCGAGTCCCTGGGGACACCTTAGGGGAGCAGAAAACGGGGGCCCAGGGGGAGGTTGGGGCTTTCTCACATCCTTCCAGCAATAAGGGGGAGCAGGGGTTTGGGGGTTCGCTGGGAGACAGGGAGGCAGCTCCCATTCCCGAACTCGAACACACATGCTCACTCGGACTCTTCTTTCAGAGTCTTTATTGTTCCAAGTAAGAAAAGTAAAAACATAAATAAGATAAATAAGCCAATAAATAAGGAGGAGACCCCACCATCCACAGCCGGCCTCAGGACGTGTAGCTGGGGCTGTGGCCCTGCGACGGCCACACCATGCTCAGGGGGTCT